TGGTTTGCTTGTTTGACAGGATTGACTCCATGCATAGCTATTCAATATTTCCTTACACCTATCTAAGCCTGAGTTTTGTGTACTTGTCTATATTATTCCCCCAATTTATTACTATGAAGGAGAAGCAGGGAGGCAGCCTCTCCTCCTAAAACAAGCAGTTCCTGTCTTGATTCCCCTATTTGTAGGTCTTGGCATTGCAGGCTCTGCAGCTATGAGCACCACGGCTCTCATAACGAGCAATTAAAACTTTAAAGCCCTAAGTCCAACAAATTGATCTAGACTTAGGGGAATTAGAAAAATCTGTTAGCTGATTAGAACCTTCCTTAGATTCCCTAGTGGAGGTAGTATTACAAAATAGGACGGGTCCTGATCTTTTATTCCTACAACAAGGTGGACTATGTGTAGCTCTAGGAGAAAACTGGTGCTTTTATACAAATCATTCAGGTGTAATAAAGGATGGCCTCTCCCTAGTTAGAGAAAGATTAAAATAAAGGGAAGATATGAGAAACAAAAACCATAATTGGTATGAAAATTTATTCTCTTGGTCCCCCTGGCTAACAGCTTTCCTCACTGCTCTAACGGGACCCGTACACATAATCTTATTACTCCTTACCGTAGGCCCNCTGAGCATTTTCTGATTGTTAAACCTGCCCCCTTCTGCTGGAGAAACTGTTTTAGAAATTTCATGCTTGCCTGTCTTAGTCGTGAACTTTGGCTTCTGTAACCTAGCTTGCTTCCTGCACCCATGTGCTAATGAAAGGTAACAGTGGTTTTGCACCACCCTAAGGACCGAATGCAAATTTGGTTCCAAAACTGACCTTTGAGCTATGTCTCATAGCCAACCAATCTGAATTAACAGACTTGCACCCCTCATTTGCATAAGAGGACCTAAATGAGAACTTCGGGGAGGGGGAAGTTTTGGCTATATGAGGCTGCCCCTTTCCTTCATTCAGGGAGACACTAGCCTGATGTTCCTACTGTCCTTGCTCATAAGCAATAAAGTGCTGCAACACCATAAAGAGCTGTAAACTAATAAAGAGCTGTAATAGCAATGTTGGTCTTGGATTCCTCTGTGTGAGCACCTCCCAACATTGCTAAAGCCATTGTGGAATTGATGGAGAAGAGGCTATTTACATGGCTCAAAGTTATTGCAAATTACTCACTAAAATAGTAACTATACATCAGAGAAGCCACTAATCAAAATTAACATCGTCAATAAGGAACAATCAGACTTAGCATGCCTCCAGGTGTGGTGTCTTGAGAAGCATACAACGTCCCTCAAGTCGTGATTCAGCCAGAAGGGCAGAGCCTGGACCTAATTGTGTGGAAACATCAGGCAAATCCAAAGTGAGGCCCTCTCCGTAAAAGAGAGAGCTGCCTCCATAAAAGAGCTGCCCTCTTCAACCTTGTAAATGTCATGAGAGGCAAAGGAAGGCTGAAGAGCTGTGCAGAATAAAGCAGCTGAAGAGACATGACCATGCGGTGCAAGATGTGGTCCTGGGTTGAGTACTATGTAGGGGAAAAATGCATTAAGGGACATTACTAAGACAATTGATGAAAGTTGAAAATGATCCATGGATTAAATACAAGTATTGTATGAATGGTAAATTTCCTGGATTTGGTAACTGTAGGAGAATGTTCTTGTTCTTAGGAAATACACATTGAAATAACAAAGGGAAATAGGCACAAAGAAACATACAAATGGTTCAAAAAAATAATGTGTGTGTTTATCAACAGAGGATGCGAATGTGGAAAACATTAAAAACTGATGAATCTGTGTAAAGGGTATATAGACCCATTATGCTGTTCTTGCAACTTTTGTAAGTTTGGAATTACTTCAAAATAAAGTTAAAAATAAATGCAGATTTTCTTTGTGGGGAGTTGCCTGAGGGACAGCACAAATACTGGGCTGTTTTATTTCCCATGTGAACTATTATTTAACATCAGGTATTTCACCCAATTTGTTGTCTGTTTAGTGCTGGGAATGGTGCTGAGCTGCAGACATGGACCCGTCCTGTTCCTTCACGTGTTCTTTCATCAGGAAGGTCACGATGGCACTGAGCAAGATCATGTCCTCTGGGGAGTCCAGGTCTCCCTGGATCCCACTCCCTGCATTTCCACAATGTGTACAATGAACTAGATGTTCTCTAGTTCTATCATCAAAGTTCTTCCAATTCTCATTGTTTCCTTCTCGGTTCACTTTTCTCGCTCTTTCCTGGACTTCTCTCTAAACTGTCTGAATGGCCCATTCCAGATGTTTCCATGGTTGGAAATGGCTACAGTGGCCTTTCATGAATAGGGAGGGCAGCTGGAATCCACTCACAGAGGTGTAAGCTGGCAGAATCCTCTTCCTACCTCTTGAATCTTCACTTCTTTGGCTCTGGAAAAGCCCCAACACCTGTGCAGGTAGGAGCCCATGGCAGTCTCCCCACCACAGGCCAGACACGCTAGTTTGACAATTGATGAAAGTTGAAAATGATCCATGGATTAAATACAAGTATTGTATGAA